ACTCTTTTTGGGTACTGCTCCGGAGTCACCTAGAGTGGAGCACCCATGGAGCCACTCGAAGAAGAAAAAGAAGTTACTCATCCTGTGAAGTAACGATTGTTCTTCGAGATGTGCCTTGTGGGTGCTCCACGACCCGCCCTTCCTCCCTGCTCCGGATTTGTTTCTTCTCTCTTTCAGATGAGTGGGTGAGAGGAACTGACGGTTGCCAGCCTGCGCGCGGCTGATCAAAGGCTCGAACGGCGCTTTGAAGGAGCCGCGCATGCGCAGGCAGAATTCTCTGAGCCGCAGCGCCGGGACGGGACTCGACATCTGGAGTGGAGCACCCACGGGGCACATCTCGAAGAACAATCATTATGTCACAGGGTGAGTAACTTCTTTTTCCCGGCGCGCACTTTCACTTTCAGAACAGCTGTTGAGCGGAGTAACGCGCTGGCGAGATCATGCTAATGAAGCATGGGATATTTAAATCCCTACTTAATTAGCAATTTTGGTCATCTACATTTGCATCCCTAGTTCCAACTAGGATGCAAGTGTAGACGTACCCTAATATAGTTGCCAGTGCCCAAGTATGTGGCAAGAATATTTTGCTTAACATCTTTACACAATGTGGTGAAGACAACAGCTCTCATCTTTAATTTAACAGTATGGTTTTTTGTTTTTGGCTTTTGCCTTCTGGCCAAGAATCACTCTCCTGATTGTCTGTGGTTGGATCCCCCTTTCTGTAGCCTGTTTGATTGCTATCAGCTTCACTATTGAAACTAGGAGATAATGCAACACATTAATGTATTTGATCTCTGGATTTCCTTCCCCAGTTCCCTGTTGCTAGGTTTATACGCTGCTCAGGGAGTCAGCTAACATCAGAAATTGTGCTATAATATCTGTGTAATGGGAGCTTGGAAGAGGACCTGGTGGTCTAGTGGCTGGAGCACTTGACTTTCAGGACCCCTGCTTGGTTGAGAAGCATCAGCCTCTAAGGCAGGGGAGAAGTAAGGGACCCAGGCCTTCCCTCTCCACCAGGTGCCAGCACAGGGCCCTGTGTACATCAATCCCTGAACAGGGGGTTCCCTCCCAACAAGAAGTCTAAATCCACTGCCTTGGGCTACTTCCATCTCCTCAGTTTGGGCCTTGGCCTCTCTAGTCGAATTCTCTAGGAGGCTTGCCTCCCTAGAGCGCCCTATTGTGGATCCCTGCCAGGATTCCATGCTCCTTTGGAACCACCCCACAATGCCTCTGGGCTTCCCTTACACAGCTACTACATGCAGTTTCCTTTGATTGTCTTTGCTGGCAGGCTAGTGATTCTTCCTCCCATGTAGGGAGGTAGCTCCTGCCTTTTCTAGTCAGTCCCAAACTAAGCTATGTTTTTTCTTTTTCTCCCCGCATCCAGACCTGGCCAGAGTGGGGACTGTTGGAGGGACATCAACATGTGCTGGAGTCTTTTTGGAGCACTAAGGGCCCTTGCCATGTCTCCACATGTGTGTGCTCTGATGGCAATGAGGTGCTCGGAAGGAATCAATTCACTCCCAACACAACAGCTCTTTTTCTATTTGGAGTACCCTTGTCTCTGACAGAGCTCTGCTGGCATATGTGCCCATCTGCTCCTGCAAAAAGGATATGCCTGTTCTTTCTCCAATGCTTCAGTCCCTCTCTTGGCTGGTAGCACTTCAGGAGAGGAGCATCCATTGTCTTTTGTTTCAGCATGTCAAATGCTTGCTGTTGGGGACTTTCATGATCCCATTCAGCATCCTGCCTCATGAGCTGACATATGGGTTCCATGACTACAGCCACATGAGAACAGAAATTGGACAGAAAAGCTCATGCCTATGAAGTGCTGTACCCATTGCCATCCATAGGAGTTGGCCTGTTCATGACCGAGGAGTGGGAGGAGCAAGCAGCTTCAGAGCCCCAGCTCCAACCTGAGCCTCCTCTGCCCAGTTGTTTTTACTGCTGTAGCACAAACCCTACAAGCTTGCGCCTGTTGCTGCTATGGGTTCTCACAGCCCTGATGCTGCCACCATGTTTCATGAGCAAAGAGTGAACCTGAACATAGATTAAGTTGGACGAGTAGAATTTCATTGAACCTTGTGCACTTCTGTACCCATCTAGCTGCATTTCTTCCAGCTAATTCCACTTGTTCCCAGGTCCCCTTGTGTTCATTCAAAAAAAAAAATGGATCATGAGCTGCTATGGGTTCTCACAGCCCTGATGCTGCCACCATGTTTCATGAGCAAAGAGTGAACCTGAACATAGATTAAGTTGGACGAGTAGAATTTCATTGAACCTTGTGCACTTCTGTACCCATCTAGCTGCATTTCTTCCAGCTAATTCCACTTGTTCCCAGGTCCCCTTGTGTTCATTCAAAAAAAAAAATGGATCATGAGCTGCCTGACTCACTTCCACTGAGTTTTGTGCAAGATAGGTCCTTTTCAGTGGAAAGATAGTGTACAGGTATGTGTGTTTTGGATGTACTGGGGCATTGCTCAAAGAAGAGAGAGAAGGTTTTGTGGGCCTGTATTGTAATTCTGTATGTCCTGGTTATGAGAAGTTTGCGTTTGAAATACTTTAACTCTTCATTTACTGATCTTTTTTTCAAAACTGAGTTTTGATTAACACAACTTTTGGGAAGCATCCAATACTGGTAAGCCTGCCAAAGGCTGAATTACTTCTGAGCCCAAGCCTGGCTCAGCCTGAGTAATCATCCCTGAGGCAGAGAATGTGGTGAGTGATTAGAGATAGTTGCCTGCAGGTTTTATAACAGGCCCCATACCAAGTAAATAGAGACTGGCCAGTCCATAGGGAAGGACCCACCCAGGTGAGTGCAAGGCAGGCATAGAGGCTACTAAAGGAAGTAGTCTCCCCAGAGTGCTCAATCTCACTACCTGACTGTTAGCATTGCTTTTGCCAGTCGTTTCAGCAGACTTGTCCTGCTTCTCTGGTTGTGCATTTCCACGTGAGCCCTCCTCAGCTCCTGCCTCAGCCAGCCACCCAGTGACTCTGAGAAAAGACATGAGATATCACTACAAAATCTTAACTCTGGGTTAATGAAGTTTTGTCAGTGAATTTCCTAGGGTTTTTTATTTGTTTGTTTGTTAACAGAAGGAAAGAAATATTTGTTGCAGGAATTAGCTGGCATTTAAGAAGTTGTAGTTCTTGCCTGGGTTTCCATTTGATATGCTGTTCCAATCAGGCAATAACAAAAAGACCTAGCCATTTTGTAATTAGTAAATCTCAAAGAACTTTCCATCGGTCTCCCCATTTTACATATAGGAAACTGAGGAACAGAGAGGTGAAGTGACTGGCTCAAGGTCACCCAGCTGGTGGCTTTTAGCTCTCCCTAACTCAACTACCATCCATAATCTGAGACCTCTCCTTTCCTATGCTGTAACTCCATATAGCTATCCCTACCATTCTTCCATCCCTCCGGTATTGCTTCCCTCCTAGCAAGCATTCTCATGCATCACCAACAGAGCAAGGTCTGATGGCACAGTGCTAAAATCTTGCTTAGATTTTTGCCCATGCTTGGACTCAAACTGAAGCTGGCTGGGGGGTAAGTCAGGTTCAGTGGCTACAGTATATTCCATTCAGCTCCCCACATGCAGAAAAAACAGGCAAGCTAGAAACCCTGTTGGTTACTATGTCCATATATAGTCTGTGTAATCCATTTAGCACCTGTGCATTAGGCATGTGCCTAACTTGAAAGCTTAGCTAACTCAACACTACTGCTTTCAGTTTTGCTGTCAAAGATTATGGATGCCATGCACCAGCTAACATAAATGTCCAATGATTGAGATCATTTTGGTGCGGCTCAGAGCCCTGGTTTGATCCCTAGGTCTGGAGGGTGAAAAAAAGTATGGTAAAAATATGCTGACCTTAAGAAAAGCTGTATTTTCCATTTTCAGGAATCAGTTGATCCAGTGACCCTAAATTTGGATCACTATCCCATGCCCCACGAAGCACATCATATTTCAAGGCAATTTGTGTAACTGTACATTTTAGAGCATTTGGCGTCCGCCTTTAAACAGAAAACAGATGGGGTGTTCCACTATGAGGCTGTCGCTGTTGTTGCTACTGATCTCTTGTGAGAGAAACCCACATTTTAGGTCCCAGGCTATGTCTACACCAGAAAAAAGATTTATAATGAGGCAGATTTCAACAGATAGATAACACGTTATAAAATCCTAATGCAAATGGGATAAACTACAGTTTTACCTCAGTGTAGCTGCTGCAAGTGACCCCTAAGCTGCCCTTAGGGGCCACAGTTCAGCAAGGGACTTAAACACATGCCCAATTTTAAGCATGTGAGAAGTCCCACTGATACATACATATTAGGGATGTTAAAAAGCAGTTAAATAGGTAACCGTGTAACCACTGAAAATGTCAGTGGTCACACACTGTGGGCTTTGCAGTATAAAGCTTTTACTGCAGAGCGCACAACATAGCTGGCTCTCCTGGAGCACAGCCAGTGTACACTGGGAGCCAGCTCCCAGCTGCTAACCCCACTAACGGGAAACTGGCTGCACTGCAGTACAAGCTTTATACTGCAGAGCCCACAGCACCAGGTGGCAGCCAGCTCCCCAGGAGCAGGGCCAGGAGCTTGTGTAAAACCTTTACAGTAATTGATAAGCTCATACGTATTGGTTGACTGTTTAAGTGGTTATACTTTTACATTCCTAATACTTATGCATAGGTGTAAGTACTCTGCTGAATCGGAACCATAACTTAGGAAAGGATAGACAGATGTATTTATCACAAAAATCCTATGGTGAGATTTCCTTGAAATCCATGGCTACATATTCGTTGTTTTTCATATGTTTAAAATGCTTCTGCATCACACAATAATCTTCCTCTTACTGATGTGATCACATTTGAGTGCCACATTGATAATAAATGTGCATGTTTATTGTGTGTTGCTTTCAAGGAATTTTCAGAAATCCTATTATATTCAGATTTCACTCATACAATATTTTTTAGGTGCTTACATAATTGCTTGTGTTTAATCTCAGGATAAACTGCTGCATTCACTTACTAAAAAGGTTGCAGAAGTGTACAGAATTAGTGTTGGAAAAGTAGACGCATCAAGCATTAACTCCATTCAGATGTTGAGAAGAATAGAGAATCGAATTGAAGAACTCTGTGAATTGTTGGAGTCAGTTCCAAAAGACAATATTGATGCAATTGAGAAAATTAAGTTGAAAGACAGAAGGCAAAGGTAAAGTAAATGCCAAGTATATTTAAAATGAATAAGGTCTTTCCTGATTTGTATTCTGAACAGTCTTTGTACAGACATAGAGTATTTGACTAGCAATATTGGTCTTAATCCTGCAAAATGTGGAAGTTCTGACAACGTATGTTTCTACATATTTTGGTTGTGCATAAAATAGATGTTTACCTACATAGCATGACAATAGGAGCAACATGTTTTGTACTTTTAACGTAGTAAAATGACTGGTCATGCCTTGTGCACCTTTTGTGTTTTCAACATCAGACATCTAGGCTGTGTCTACACTGCATCCCTTTTCCGGAAAAGGGATGCAGATGAGACAAGTCGGAATTGCAAATGAAGCGGGGGATTTAAATTTTCCCCGCTTCATTTGTATAAACATGGCTGCCGCTTTTTTCCGGCTCGGGGCTTTGCCGGAAAAAAGCGCCAGTCTAGACGGGGATCTTTCGGAAAATAAAGCCTTTTCCGAAAGATCCCTTATTCCTCTTAAAATCAGGAATAAGGGACCTTTCGGAACAGGCTTTATTTTCTGAAAGATCCCCGTCTAGACTGGCGCTTTTTTCCAGCAAACCCCGAGCCGGAAAAAAGCGGCAGCCATGTTTATACAAATGAAGCGGGGAAAATTTAAATCCCCCGCTTCATTTGCAATTCCGACTTGTCTCATCTGCATCCCTTTTCCGGAAAAGGGGTGCAGTGTAGACACAGCCCTAGGGCCTTATTTTCAATACTCCTTTCGCCCCCAATAAACGAGTTTTTAACTTGAGGTAAAACCATAGTGAAAACAAAGCAGTTGGTAGTTTTCACATGCATTAGCAGGTTGATTTAAAGATTAGACTCCCAATTGTCTTTACCTCAACCTGCTAACTCATGTGAATACTATAAACTGCTGTGTCTTCACTAGCATTTAACTGGAGTTAAGAACACACCTTTATTTTGCAGTGAAAACAAAGCCTTTGAGATGCCTCCAAGCACTGTAATGTGTTTTTCTGTCTGCAATGTAATATATTGTCCCTAGGCTTGGTTATAATCAATACATTTTAGCAGTGGTTGATTTCTCACTTCACCCAGAAAAGCAATGATAAAGAAAAAGACTAGCATTCATAACCACAGGTGGGATTTTCAAAAACATTCAGTGTTGGCATAACTGTGTTCCTGTAGAAATCAGTCTTAAAATTTCTATTGACTTCAATGGGAAGAAGTTAGGTCTATGCTGGCAGCAATTTTTTTCTTGTTACTTCCTTTTTATAAACAGATAGTGTTAGGGATAGCATGTTTTATGCTAATAGTGCCCGTGAGATAATACAGAGTTGGAATTCAGAAGGGAGCAAACATCTCGCCAAACACTTCTTTTTTAGATGTCACTATGTTCCAAAGCTGGGTATACCACAGGTCAGAAAAACAGTTCATTTAATGTGAACACACACATATTTTTCAAAAACTGTAAAAGAAACTGGTTAATAGACTAAACCCTTCAGAAATATTTATTTTAGAAAAACACCGATAGCATAAAAGTCCCCAATTATATTATTATGTTCTAAGCATTTCTGGAATGTTGCATTTCCTTTATTTTATGTGTTAAGGAAGTTCGGTCAAGGGTTAAATATTTAACTATGATATATTGGAATGTCATAGTTGACATTTTCATATTATTATTACAATAAAAATACAAACAGCTAAATGGTTTTTTTTTCTGTTAATACACCAGGGCTGTGTGTACACTGGCCATTTATTCCGGGAAAGCAGCTGCTTTTCCGGAATAACTTGCCAGCTGTCTACACTGGCCGCTTGCTTTTCCGGAAAAGCAATGACGATCTAATGTAAAATCGTCATTGTTTTTCCGGAAAAACTATGCTGCTCCTGTTCGGGCAAAAGTCCCTTTTTCGGAAAAACTGTTCCAGAAAAGGGCCAGTGTAGACAGCACAGTAGTCTTTTCCACAAAAAAGCCATGATCGCGAAAATGATGATCGGGGCTTTTTTGCAGAAAAGCGCATCTACGTTGGCCACGGATGCTTTTCCGGAAAAAGTGCTTTTCCGGAAAAGCATCCTGCCAATGTAGATGCGCTTTTTCCGGAAATACTTATAATGGAAAACTGTTCCGTTTTAAGCATTTCCGGAAAAGGGTGCCAATGTAGACGTAGCAGGTGTGTCTGTTGAAACAAGGTTACATTTAAATGTTTCAGGATGATGAGTTGATTTTAGATGATCTATTACAAAAACAACAAAGTGGAGCTATGGCTACTCCCCAGCTGCATGCCGGATGGCTATTTGGGAACACCAACAGCCCATTTGGCTACTCCCCAGCTGCATGGTGCCGGATGGCTATTTGGGAACACCAACAGCCCATATAATTTAGGGCGTGTCAACTACATTCAGAACATCACACACAAAATCACAATTTGGCTTTTCAAAATAACAGCAGATTTTTCTTTGCAGCTGGAAATGTCCTTCAAATCCCAGTGCTTCCACTTGTTCTAAACTTTAGTGCACCAAAGGCTCCCTGGTGCACTAAAGTTTCTTCTAGCAGAGGAAGAATGCAATTTTTACCTTTAGCATGCGTCAGACCTCTAAAGCAGTCTCTACCCAGATGGAAGGGATTTGAGGGAGATATGCTCCTTGCTATGAATCAGCAGGGGAACTGGCTCCATAAGGCAGAAATTCTTTTCCTAATGAGAGGGGCTGAGCATGTTGACTTTTCTGCACTACTTTCACAGAAGCAAGGCCATGTCTACACTAGGATTCGACTTAATAACTCCCGATTTAACAAACTCAAACTGGTATGTCCACACTAAGGAGATGCCTTGTAATTAGCATGAGGCAGGCTCCATTAATGTGGACACGCTGCCACGGACGTAGAGCCTCAGGAAGCACTGGGAAGTACTTACTTCGAATTACTCTGGGGAGTAATTATTTTGAAATAGCAGCACCAGAGCATCCACACTACTGTTATTTCAAAAAAACTATTTCAAAATTAGCATTACTCCTGATGAAAAGCAGTAGTACAGATTTTGAATTCTGCAGGGATGATTTCAACATGGAAGTCCTAGTGTAGACCAGGGCCAAGGGACTAAGGCCCTGCTGATCCTGCCAAAACACATATGAGTGGTACCATTTTATTCAGAATCTAGTCATATCGATTCCAAGTCCAGAAGGGACTATTGTGACAGCCCATAAAAACTTCTCCAAAATAATTCTTAGAGCAGATCATTTAGACAGGCCATAAAAACTTCTCCAAAATAATTCCTAGAGCAGATCATTTAGAAAAACATCGAATTTTGGTTTTAAAAATGTAATACTGTACCATGACCTTTGGTAAGTTGTTCAAATGATAAATTACTCTCATTGTTAAAAATGTACATTTTTAGTCTGCATTTGTCTAGTTTCAATTTCCAGCCATTGGATCATGTTATATCTTTCTCTGCTAAACTGAAGAGCCCATTTATTAAATATTTGTTTTCCATTCTGATATACATAGATTGTAATCAGCTTTAACCTTCTTTTTGTTAAACTAAATTGATTGAGCTCCTTGAGTCTATTGCTGTAAAGCATGATTTTTAATGCTTTAAAACATTATCAGGGCTCTTCTCTGAGCCCTCTTCAATTTTTCAACATCCTTCTTGAAATGTGAATAACAGAACTAGACACAGTATTCATGCAGTGACCACAGCAGTGCAAGTGCATTGACTTAGGCTGTGGGCATATAGATAATACATCTGTTAATAAAGGTACTACTATTGTGTGATACCATAAGATGCCGTAAGGAAATAGCTATCTGAGAAACTGGTATCAATGTTAGCTGAATTCCAAAGTTATATAAATATCAAAGCACTTACAGCATGTTTTATCCCTGTGTTAAATTACCCACAAAAACAGATAAAATACCTGGCAGGCATATTATGTTCTTGCCTTGACAATCATGTCTAGTCATCAAAAATTTATTACTGATTTAAGGAGTTTTGTATGAAAGTTAAGAACAAACATATCTGATGTAATGCAAGTAGTTTTTCTCCAGTAGCTCATTTTGTTATTTTGGTAATTTTTTCAAACAGTTTCCATTTTTTCAAAAGCTGATTTGCCCTTTTGAAAACATATGTTGCATTCTCATATCTGGTAACATAAAAACTTCTTCATAAGACATGCATAAGGGTTTAAAGCAGTGGTTCCCAAGCTTTTCGGCATCACACTCCCTTTTTGATTTTTGAGAAACCCTCACGCCCCTCCCCCACCCCCAATAGCAGTAAAACGTGTAGAAAAAAAAATAACAGCAAAACTTGGAGGGGGGGTTGGGTCCCCTCCCCCATGCACCCCCTGGAATTTCTTCATGACCCCCCCCCCCCCCCCCGGAGCTTGAGCTTTGATTCTCTACATGATAGCCTGTTGTAAAGTGAGTAAACTTGAGTTCACTGTTTTTAACAATGATAAAGAATTCTACTGCATTGTTGCAAAGTACCATCTTGTTTAAGTGACACTTTTGCATTAACACTATGGTGTGATCGCTGATATTTTGAATAGCTGTATTGTACTGCCCCCTTATGGAATTGTTCATTATATCAGCTACTTAATTAATATATAAAACATTTCATTCATTAGCTACATTAGTTTGACTAGAATTTTGATAAGCCTCTTTGTTTTCTCTTAATATTGTACATTTGGTAAGTTAAAATTTGCAGTCTACTGTACACCCACCACATAAAAGAATAAATAAAACCCATATCAAAACAATATCATTAAAAAATCAAGGATGGTAATGTAGATGGGTGCCCATTTTTTATTCTGAGTCATTACTAATTAATACCTCAGCATTATGTGAAGAGACAGGTTGTACTTTTGGGTGGATATGCCAACTACCCCCACATCTGAGCATGTGATATATATTTTATAGCCCTTTCAAAAAAAAATATGAGTTCAATTTAACTTGTTCTAATCAAAGCCCAATTTGAGTAGTTACATTCTGTCTGTCTTCTACTGCTTCTCATCCCCTCCCAATATACCTTTCAAGAGGATATGTTAGTGTTTGCTTTCTGTCCTAATCTAAATAATGTCACTGTACACTGAGAAACTGCTACTCTGTTGCACCCTAGAAGTGGAAAAAATATTTAATATATTTTGGGCCTGTTATCTATACACATGTATATTTATTTATTTAACATATTTTTACCCTGCCTCTCTATTTAAAATATCCAAAGTGATTTACAGAAATTTTTTAAAACATGTGTGTGCGTGTGTGTGTATATATATATATAAATAAAAGTAAAATACAGGACTCTGAAGGGCTGACATAAAACCTGATAAAACACCTTAAGAGGAGGGGGACACGCAACTAAACATGAGTTATCAATTAATCAGACTGAATGAGCCATTTGTGGAGTGGAACATGGTTACTAATACTGCATATCTTAAATGCCTTTTGAAGTATCAGTGTAATTTTGGGTTGCCTGATGTCTGGGTTTTGCCTGGACCGGCCATTATTTCTGGCCCCTGTCCAGTAAAAAAAAAGAAAATACCAGACATGTAAAATCTTCAATATTTTCTGTTTTTCTTGGATGGAAGGCTGGTGGGGACATTGTTCCCTGCCGCGTCTGGTGTGGGGAAGCGAAGAGCATGAGGATTCAAAAGGTGCATCGACCTTTTTTATTCTCCCGGGTGGTGGTGTTTTTTTCTCAACAAGTTTGGTCTCTCCCTCCCCCTCTCAACCAAGTTTTTTTCCTGCCATGTTCGGGAGCTCTCAACCAAGTTTTTTTCTTGCCATGTTTGGGATTTTTGGTGAAAGCATCTGGCAAGCCTAGTGTAATTACCTAAAGTCAGATTTGGACAGGTAAGTGTTTCACTACATTTCTGTTTTGCAAAAAGTGCAATAGAACTTTAAGGTCCTCACCACTTGTGATCATGCATTATGTCTTCAAAAGTAGCAATTCCAGCAGCAAAATATCCCTTATTACAATACTGGGGCATTAGTTTAATTTAGATGGAGAGAGGTGTGTGTCATCCTGTTAAAACATTTCCTGTCTTGTGATGGCCAATAATGATGGAGATCTGAGACCAGTGAGCATTGTTGATGATTGTGAGCATGTGATCATAGGTAGCTTACTTATGCTTCCACTGTTAGGCAGTAGCTAGCTTTCTTACCCAGTGGAGTTCCACTGGTGTGGTTGCCACAGCTTCGGGACCTTCCCAGGTGTCCTGCAGCATTTCCCTCTCCTTCAGGTCCCTGGCTAAGGCAAGGTTTTAGCCTGATAGTTGTCACCTTTATATACAGTTCGTAGCTCATCTGCTATATATTTTAGAGAGTTTGTGCATCTGTGAGTATGTTTATTCAAGAACTCCTCCTAAATGGTAAGAATTAGGACCACAACATTTGGTATGCGGCTTCCTCGTATCATAAATTAAACCAAAATCAAGGTTTGGCTGTGCCAGGACAATAGGACGTGCATGAAATGTGATTTTTCGCATAAAGTGGAAAGGAAGGGGTGTGGAAGCAGGGACATTTATCATGCATGAAATGTGATTTTTCGCATAAAATGGAAAGGAAGGGGTGTGGAAGCAGGGACATTTATACTCACAAATGAAGGGGGGCAGCAAGCACCCCACCCCCGGGGACGGGCAGCACAGCCCCTACTACTCTGCCTTAGACCATCCCCAGGCCACTGTGGCACACAGCCCACCTCTCCAGAAAGCAGCCACCTACTGGGCTGTATGGCTCCCAACATAAGCTAATTTATTTCACATGTACTGACATGACACTCAAGTTCAATTAACAGCTTCCAGAAATTAATTATGCTAATTAAGTCATGTGTACATGAAATTATGCAGCCCTCTCTCCTGATTGTATCATCCCTATTTCCCATGTACTCCTGTGCAGGGAATGGGAAAACTATGATTCACATCCAGCCCATCACAGCTTTTAATCCAGTTTGTGGGATTACCATTCTGGTAGCACAGCAGGGCTAAGGCAGGCTCCTTGCCTGCTGTGGCCCCATGCTGCTCCTGGAATGTCTCTGTGACCCCTGGGAATGGAGAGGACAGGGAATCTGTGTGTGTTGCTCTTGCCTGCAGGCACCGTCCCCCCTCCTCTCCTGGAGCTCCCCTTGGCCAGGAACAGGGAACTGCAGCCAGTGGGAGCTGTGGGGGCAGTGTCTGCAGATGGCAGCAGCATGCACAGCTACCTGCCACCCTGCTTCAAGGATCCAGTCAGGAGCCAAGACAAGCAGCTGGGGAAAGGATGCATGTCCCCTAATTGGGGGACAGATACACAAATAGACAAACTCTGAAATATATAGTAGACAGGGGTGGAGAAAGGGACAGCTGCTTCCTCCCGACCCAATGAGGTTATAGCTGTCCTAGTCCCCATTTCTGGCCCCTTACCACCTCCTTGTGATCATTCTATAATATGAGGGCTATACTGCGCTCTCTTGCTCAAGAAAATATCTAGGGCTATACTGCACTCTCTTGTGCAAGAAAATATGCAAATGAGGCGAAGTGGTGAATATCGCCGCACTTCATTTGCATACTTAATGAGCCACCATTGTGTGCAAGGGGCTTTTGCACAAAAAGGAGCCATCTACACGGCTCCTTTTTGCACAAAACCCCCCTCTTGCGTAAGAGCAGTTCTGCCTGAAAAAAAGTGGCAGAATGTCTCTTGCACGGGGGAGGGGAGGAAGGTTTGAGCAACAAGGAGCTATGTAGATGGCTCCTTTTTGTGCAAAAGCTCCTTGCGCAAAATGGTGGCTCATTAAGTATGCAAATGAAGTGCAGGCACATCCCAATGTCCTGGCACAACCAAACCCTTACCTTGTTATACTATCAGGAAGCTGCATACCAAATTTGGTTGTCCTAGCACTTACCTTTTAGGAGTTTTTGAACTAATGGACTCAGATGTATAAACAGATATTCAGATTGAGCAGTTTAAATTTTTTACAAACTTTACATCTCATCCCAAAGTTTTTCCGCAAATTTTCAGTTTCAAGTGTTTTGAGGTATTTTGTGCAACTAAATCTCTAGTCACACTGTTTCAAACTATTGTTTGTTGCCTCTGGAATTAAATTTAAGGAAGCAAAAAGTTTGTGTTAAAGGTTCAGGCCTTTTCCTTCCTATCAACACCTGCGGAGTCACCAGAAAATTCACTTTTCACCACTGCAGGTTACGTGAAGAAAAAAAGAGAGAAGAAATTAAACTTCAGGAAGAACGACTGAAGTGTTCTATGGAAAGAGCAACTGCAGCCCCGAAAAAGAAGGTTTGCATTTAGTTTATTTTTTTCTGAGAAGTCCGAGATCATGTGTATTTAAAAAAAAAAATCCTGTTACTTTATAGCACATTTAAAGTTACCCATAGGTATTAGCTTTACTTTTCCTGTGCAGAAGAGAAAGTTGCATGTCATTACAACTAAAACAAAAAACACTATTTATCATTAATTTACAAAATTTGCAGTAATAGTAAATCACTAAAAATAGTTAATTCACTATCATTTTTTGATGACAGACCTTGTTGAATAAGAGCTATTATTTGGAGAAAACTCAATATTAAACACTAAAATATGCAAGAAGGCAATTAGTGGATTAAGTGAAAATATCTAGCCCTTATTTTGAGCAATAACTAATTGAGTATTTCAGTAAAATAGTACTTACAAGTGTTTGAGGGGAATTTAAGGTATTCACTATATAATCCAGAGGTCACATCATTAGTAGTCAGAAATCAGCACAGAAGGCAAGAGGCTGATACTTGAACTGTTTGCATGGCTTTAAACACAACTGCAATATAAATTATAGTAGAAGACTAACCCAGAGTTGCCTGGGTCCCTCAGGGCAGGGGGCTGGCAGTGTGGACAGTGCAGGAGTCAGGGTAAGGTGAAGAATCAGAGCAGAGCTAGGGCAAGGGGGCAGAGGAGGCATGGAGGTATGTGAGAGTGAGGGTTGGAGGGAGGGAGCTCAAGGCAGGGGAACCCATCTGGCAGGGCTCTCTTCCTCCAAGCTGGAGGGGTGAAGGGGCTGCTTAACCAGTCTGGTGGCAGGCAAGATGGCAGAGCCCCAGCCATACCGGCCACTCTTGGTCATGTGGCTGTCCCCACTGACCACTGCATAAAGCTCTCCCTGCCATCAGCTGCCACTCTCAGTATCATGGCCCTCCTCTCTATGCCTTTCTCTTTCACATCTCTCCTCTCTCCTTTTCTATGTTATGGAAAACGGTACCATCCCAGCACTTCCTGTTTTCTTGGCACAACAAAGTCCTGACCTTGCTTTATGTTAGGATAAGAGGAAGCTGCATGCCAAATTTGGTGGTCCTAGTTCTTACTGTTTAGGAGTTCTTGAACAAACAGACTCACAGAAGCACATTTCTAAACTAAATAGACGGACAGATAGATATTATCTGGTTAGAATTTTCTGTATCCTGGGACTACACAAACTGAGTAGGTCTGTAAATGTAGGGTTCAATTACAGTATATAATTTGCCAAAAGCCAGTGTAAAATCAGAAAACTGAGTGAACATTACCACCCCAACCTTAGTCTTCTCTCACTGTATATCTTAATTATAGAATGAAGCAAATGCAGTAACACTAATCACATATCTAAGATGATATACAAGTAATTAATTTTCAGTTACATTGTATCACATTGCTACAATTGAGAGAGACTTTGTGACCTTTTGTTAATATATAAAAATATGTGGTTTCCTAATTGCATGATTTAAATTTCAGCCTCAGAGGGACATAATTTGAAGTATTGTTTTTTAATTACACAGGTGTAATAGCTGTGAGTGCTTCTGCTTTTTGGGATTTAACAGGCACTTTTTTATTTTGATAAATGAGTTTCACAGGGACAAACTAAGGCCCTGCAAAAGCTTGTGTACAAGGGTAACATCTACAAGTAAAATGATGTACATGTGTTTGCAAGCTCCAGTCTTAACTGATTATAATAGCAGTACAAGTTATTAGAGTAAACTGAAGAACAGACGGTTTCTAAATGTGTCAAGGAATTGTTTCAAGGCACATATAACAAAAACAGGTAAAACTTTCAGAGACAGAGGATATTGTTAAAGTTGGGTGCCTTTAATAATACAGTCTATAGATCCCAGTTTCTCGGTGTTCTGTACTTTTAATATTAGTAATAGCTGTATCGTCAGGCCTGCTGACAAACTAGGATTGGGAGGTGTTTCTGCCAAAGCGGGCAAGGGATCCTTTCTGTAGCCTGAAGCTGGGACCCATGCTAGGAAATTACTCATTAAGGCATTTGTAAATGGCAGAATAAAAGGCAGTATGCTACCACAACAAAGGGGGAAATAAGTACTACATACTCGTGTTACTTTGTGCAAGTAGCTGGTGCTTATAGCCTGTTATGTGTTGTACTTTCTGGCAGTGTGAGCACTCTCACATCCTTCTCCTCTAGTAGTTAACTCTTGGATGTAGTGTGCCATGACAGTTTCAGAAGGGCCATTGTCTTCTGCAGCTGTGAACTTCTGCCAAAAAGTGAAGGCAAGGGTTGAGGACAACATTAGATTTAAAAAAAGCTGCCTCAACTATCAGTTTTATTCATTTTGCATTTTAAAATATACTTCAGCAAGAGGAAACCTAGGCTAGTGAGTGAGATGCATGAGTAGCCCGCCATCGCAATAGGTCGCAAGATTTTCATAATCAAGATGGCATTCTGGGAAGGGGCAGTTTTTCTAACTGCACTTGTGTACACAGAGTTTGTGGAGTATGCTAACTGAACTACAGCAGCACTTTGATGCAGAGGGAGCACATGGCTCTTAGTCAATGTTTGTGCAATCATCATGCTTCACATGCCCATGCTTTACATGCGTGTCACTTTAGCAATATCAGTTAAAAAAAAAAGTGGATGGAAACGAGTGGAATCTGGCAACCCTGTGTGGGCAATAGTAAACAATGTCTTTTGGACCACACAGAGAACCCCAATGGGCCACAGATTGCCCACCACTGATCTAGTTATACTTCTGGTAGAGCCTTACGTCGATGCAAAATTTGTATCCACATCTGTATCCACAAAAATGAGCCACAAATATATGCAAATATGGGTATCCTCATCCATATCAGCAAAAAAAAAAAAAAAAAAAAAATGAGCCACAAATATATGCAAATACGGGTATCCTCATCCATATCAGAAAAAAAAAAAAAAAAGAGCTGCAGACACTGGCAGATTTACAAGGCTCTACTTGTAGGCAACAATCTAGATGCTATAAACCAAACTAAAGTTCTGCTTATGGCAGACCTAAGGATAAGAGGAGACCTTAAAACAGATCCTCACCTACTGTAAGGTGTCATAGCTCTGTTGACTTCCACGGAAAAATGCAAAGGTGCAACAGCTGAGGATGATCTCTATTGTGTTACTATTCTCAGCAACTGGGATCTATAGACTGTATTTTCCCTATAGGTAGCACAGCAGACATAATCCAGGAGGCTTTGCCTAATTAAAGGCAAAACAACTCCTGGAATTATTGTGGAATAATGCAACTTCACACCCAACATGGAGCTATGGAAGTATTTCAAATGCAGCCTTCATAGTCTACTAATAGACTTTATTATAAAACTATGAGTCTGCATAGATGTGTACTTTTCAGTGTTCAACATTTCCCTTTTCCAATATTTCAGTTGGGAAGAAAACTGGTATTTCGCTCACAGCCTCCAGAGATCAAAAAGGAGACAAGCCTGAAGGAGACCAGCACAAAAAATCAAGACGACATATTATTTTTCACTTGAGTTTAACCTGGCAATACTTCCTTAAAGGTGGCAATACCAAGTTGTAGCTATATCTTCCCATTCAATTCATCTAGAGCAAAGATTAATATTCTGTACTGTAGTTAACACAACTTAGTAACAAAGGAGTTATCACTAAAATGCAGAGATCCTTAGTATATGTAGCAAGCCTACTTAATACATCACATGTGGAAATGATAAGCCTACTTAATACATCACATGTGGAAAAAAAACCCTAGAATGTCTTCACTGCTTGTTCTGTAACACCCTATTACTACATTCAGCTAACAAAAATACCACTCCCGCAATTCCTGCAGTACACTCCAGTGTAGTCAGCTTAGAAACACAGTAGTTTACAAGTGCACAAAAAAATCCTGATTCATTTTTGAACTGCTATATAATATAACTGCAGTACAACTAGGGAAATAGGCTACATAAAGTGAAGCAATGTCATATCAACAGGATTGTGGCACAACTATAAAACGTACCATAGGAAATCACTTAGATGCAATAATTCACCTTTAAGGATAGAATATAGTACACATTAATATTTTAAAATATCATCTATGTAATCTTATTTCAGTTTCAGAGCAAAAGATTTCCTCTCTAGCATTAATCTTGCAACAACATTTAAAAAGTTAGACTTTAAATTAGATAGGTTTATATAGTTAAGTTTCCCTCTGCGAGAAAACACTAAATAGTAACGAGTTAAGTTTTACTGTACAAATTTCCATAAAACTCTTAAGATGCCTTAACAAAAGTTGTGAAAAATGTATCTTTATTTTCCAGAAATATACAAACTTATTCTCTCATTTCCCCATCTTCTTCTTCTTCTTCTACTCCTCGGATGTACAGGACATTATTACATCTGTAAATAAATCAGAAGTTCTTTTAATTTTAAATGTATATTTTGTTCTGACTTTCCCCACATAAGCACTAGCTTTAAACTAAGTGGTGTGTTTTTTAAATTGAACTTGGGCCATTTACTTAAACCCTCCAAACACCAATTTTATCAGTCCAACCAGTTAACATATATTACTGGTGATCCCACACTCCAAAGGCTTTCCAAGTAGTTCAGTTTGCAACTGTCTACTGTAACACAGAAATGAAGAATGGCAAATCATTATACTCTACATCCATTTGTTTACACCCATATTCTATAAACAGATGCCCATGCTTAACTTCAAGCATAGGGATGTCGATGAGCAGATGACTATATGATTAAGTAATAAGCCTGGGCTTATTAGTTAATCCTTTTGACTACATGTATTCCCCCCACTTTAGAGACAGTGGAATGAGGGGGGGGGGGGGGGGAAAGGCACCTCATGAGCACCGGCTCCGCCTCCTCCCTCCCACCCCCACACTGCTGCCTTGCACAGAGAGGCAGCAGCACAGAGGGTGAGGGGGCAGAGGGGAGCCAGTATGTGTGCAGACAACCACGTTAGGCTGGCTATCCACAGACCCATCTGCCTCTTCCCACTCTTGCTGCCTCCTACAGCGCTCTGTGGAGTCACCTGCTCAGCCACCTGGAGGAGCGGGTGTCACAGAAGAAGCTACCACAAAGCAGCCTCTCCACAGCGGACCTAGGCTCACTGCAAATGGAGGCTGCTCTGCAGCAGTGGCCCCTATCTGCGGGAGGTCCAAGCTCTCTGTGAACAAAAAGAGCTCAGCCCCCCTGCAGACAGGGGCTGCTGTCAGTGTTCCCTCTAATCTGCTCTGCAGCATATCTTTACAGGTGATTAATCATCCCCACCCATTCAGTCAGCTCCCTGAGCCTGGGTAGAGCTTATTAATCACCTATGAAGCTGTGCTTAGAGGGAACACTGACTGCTGCCACCAAGTGCTGCTGCCTCTAATAGTCCCTGGGGACTATCAAATAGTCATGCAACCACTGGAATTTGATGTAGTTATACAACTATTCAAATTACTCACTAACATCCCTATTCAAGCACATAAAGTTGCAGGAGCTGGACCTTAATATATATGCAAAAATTTATTGATACTCTTTTGAAAATCCACTCTACCTCCTCAGACACATACACTCACTGGAGTCTCTGCTACCTCTCCTCATTTAGAGACCCATCATTTCTGTGAAACTATTCAGTGCCTAATTAACTTCTTGATATTATTGGTAAGATTTTTCTCAACTATTGACAAGAGATTCATTGGTTATCTGGGATCTTATTTATGTATATGAAAGAAGTTACAAAAAGGAGAAATTATGAAATGGGTATTGTAGTTGGTTCTTCCCTCCCCTGATAATACAGGTTGAACATCTCTTATCTAGCACCTTTGGGACCTAACCAATCCTGAACTAGGGAGGTTGCCAGACTAGAAAAGTTTCCTACCATAGCCCCCAGCCGCCGACTCTGCCAGCTGGGATTTAGGGGAGGTGGGGGGGGAGGGGGGAACGGGTATGGAGGACTACCTCCAGCCCGACAGGGCTGCCTGCTGGGTTGCTGGCCCTGCTGCCCCGGCCAGACTGCCTGCTGCTGTCCCAGTCTTGCGCTGCCAGGTGCTACCCTGACCAATCCCAGTGCCACAGGCTATCAGAAACTGCTGGCTCCAGCTCCACTGCTGTGGGCTGCTGCCAGCCCTAACCTCTGCCCCATCCCACTGCTTCAGCCCTGCTCCTCCTGGATTACCCTCCTGCCACTAGGCTACCAGAGTTCTCTGATGAAGGAACTTCCATGGTCTGGCTGGACCAGAGAATTCTAGTTTTGGGAGGTGCAACCAGTATGATTTTTATTATGATCTGCCAGAAATTGCTTAGCACAGAATTAGAAACTGCAACTAAAGTATTTAATATTGCAAATTTTCAGACTGTTTTAGGCTGACTATTAAGGAATTGAAGAGTTCTGTCCATCTACAAATGTAATACATCCACTACATAACTTACTAAATAATCTATTTTGATAATTACCTTATCAAAACTTCACCAAGGTGTCCAGACAATGCACCATCTATGTATTCTTCTGTGTTTGCAAGCTTTAAGGAACAAAACATTAGCACAATTGTTTGAAGAAAATTCTCAGCCAGCAATCAATAAACTATTGTCAGGCTAAAGACATTCTACAAGGACTACTGGGCCCTTTGGGAAACTGGGTCTGTTTAATAGTAACTTGTACCTCATTAGAACTCTTTGTTTTTATTATGCATGTAGCTCATTATATTTCACTTTTCATTGAAGAATCTGACCAGAAGAGTGTGCCATATATAGCAAAATATGGTCTGTTGCTTTAGAACTAGTCTACAAACCAAACTTTGTGTAAATCCTTTTCATCAGTTCTCAAGCCAATCATACCTTCATGTTGGAGATGCTGCTGCCCTGCACAGAGCACTGCAGGAGCAAGGGTGTAGGTGGCTCCACATAGAACTAGGCAGTGCAGAAGCAGTAAGATCTGGGTCTACTTCTGCCAGGTCTTATTTGATAGCAGGCAAGTCACTCACCTCTGATGCCCTCGACCCCGCTATGAGGCCCCTGAACAACCCTCACGCCGCAGAGGGGACCCCGTGTCCCCTTTTGAACAACCTTGTCATAGGCACCTCCCCCCCCGACTCCCCACGGAACGGAGTTGCCAACTCTCCCGAAAGGTAGGACCGGACACCATTTGCGGCAATGGCATCCGGTCCGGGAGAGCTGGCAACCCCACACGCCCACGTTTGAGCCGCCCCCGTCTCCCCCCGAACTCCTTCCGCAAGCCCAGGCTGCGCGAGGGGGCGGGTCTCCCGGAGCCCTTGGGGCCAACGGGGGAGGGGGGGCGCGTCCCGGCTCCAACTGACCTGCATGTTCATGTAGCCATCGACGGACACCAGGTAGCCCTTGTACTCCATCCCCCACTTCAGCTTCACCATCACCGGCTTCCCCGTCAGCCCGTTCAGGAAGGGCTTGGGGTTCAGGGGCAAGCTCTGCGAGTCACCACAACAGCGGGGTCAGCGCGAGCGCGGCCAGGGCTCCCCCGGCACCTGCCGCCCCTCACCCACCCCAGGGCGCCCCC